TATGAATTTGACTTCCCTAGGTATGTTGTATTAGCGGAATCATACAGTATTTGACTTTCTGTGACTGGCTGAAACACTTTTAAATAATACATACACATTATACATTTAGAGACTTTAGACTTCTAGACCATGTTCCCACACACAGAGTACAGTAATACAAACTTCTCGGTGCCAGAGCATCTGTAAGTACAGGTGGACCATCCTTCTTGGTGCCAGAGCATCTGTAAGTACAGGTGGACCATCCATCTTTGCCCCTTTTGTGCAAGTACCCAAACAGCTCAGACATATTTTCCAGTCTGATCAGAATAATATGCACACAGATTTTTGCACATTATATATAAAGAAAAGGGCAAGTCTGTTTATTATTGTTAGAGTAATTTATGTTTGATAGAAATCATAGAATGTTAGAACTAAAACGTGATGTTAGAGTTGTCCAGTCCATCCAACTCATTATACAAATGAGAGAATAGATCCAGACAGGCAAAGTCTGTTACTAACCCCAAGGTTAAGAACAGGAGGAGGAAACAGGTTTTCTTAATTCTATGCACTTTCTTTTTTATGTTTGCTAGTGTTCTAATGACCATTCTTACAGTGTAGCTCATTATGTCCTTCAATATCAAAGACCAATATTTATAGAATAAAATAAGTGAAAAGTTATGTCAACTTGTAGCAACAAGTAAATAGTGAATAACAGAAGTTATATCTTCCTTAATTTTTACATTAAGGACTGATAAATAGGAATATAAACATCATTGTTTTATCAAAACAAAAGTCTGTATAATAGGACTTTCGATATGCTGAATCCGTAGCATGGGATTTAATTCTGAAGTACAGGATTATCCTTGCACTATAACTCAATGTATAATAAAATCTAGAACTGATAGAGCTCATTTTGAATAAGCCTTTTTAAATGTATCAGTGTATGAATATGTGAATAATGACTTCTCTGAGAACTGATGATCCCATCCACTTAAGATTAAAAACCCTTAGAAAATACTCCATGGTGGTCATCTCCATACCTACCTAATTGTACATTCCATCAGTTAAAAAAAAATAATTCCACAAACTCAATTATGTTTATTTATGTTATATGAATAAACTACTTTGCTGAGAAGTACACATTAAAAGCTTAAACAAAACACATACTTTTCTTTTTTTAAAGATTTTTATTTATTTATTTGACAGAGAGATCACAAGTAGGCAGAGAGGCAGGCAGAGAGAGAGAGGGGGAAGCACGCTCCCTGCTGAGCAGAGAGCCCAATTCGGGGCTCGATCCCAGGACCCCGAGATCACGACCTGAGCCGAAGGCAGAGGCTTTAATCCACTGAGCCACCCAGGCACCCCAGAACAAATACTTTTAAAAAGATTGTTAAAAATACATTTTTTTTCTTTCTATACCCAGTGGATCATTTTGTATACATCTTTCCTTTGAAAATCAAAGGGTGTGTGAGGTAATAGTGATCATCATTTACCTAACATAATGGTATTGTAGCCTCTTGTTACTGAGAGTGAGAACAGTATAAATTGAAGGATACAGTACAGTAGAATGTACTAAAATACTTTCATGAAGGTCTGTGGAATGACAACTTTACAAAGCTCTATGAAAAATGTAATAACAAGTTAAACCAACATTTATTTAGCATCTGCAAATGAGATACAATATCCATCTACCAGGAAGGAGCTTACATTATAGTTGGAAGACATTTTACTTAAATGTGTATTTGAGTGCTGTAAATACATGTGAAGATAACTGATAATTCAAGAGGGAATAGAAGGAATGTGTGTGTGTGTGTGTGTGTGTGTGTGTGTGTGAATTTTTAAATTTTTATTTGTCAGAGACAGAGCGAGCACAAGCAGGCAGAATGGCAGGCAGAGGCTGAGAGAGAGGCAGGTTCCCCCCTGAGTAAGGAGCCCGATGCAAGACTTGATCCCAGGACTCTGGGATCATGATCTGAGCCAAAGGCAGCGGCTTAACCGACTGAGCCACCCAGGCATCCCTGTTGTATATATTTTATGTTCCAGAGAAAAGAGACATTCATGGGGAGGAACAATCACTTTAAGCCTGAGGAAGTCAACAAGGGCTTCAAGGAGGAATTGCTACTTTTATTTTATTTTTTATTTTACTTCACTTTACTATATCTTATGTCTGAGCCTTATAATCTGATAGGCAGAAAGCATGGTAAATATTTCAAAGAAAATGAATTGATTCATTTTATTGAAGCAGATGGTTTTTGTGAAGGAAATTAGTAGAAGGAAAGCTAAAGAAGTAAGTTTCATTTGAGGAGGATATTGTTCTTACCCAGGCTAAGCAAAATGCACATTTTCTGTCTGTAATGGGGAACTGCTGAGCAGAAGTGTGATGTGATCAAAGTGGTAATTTAAGAAGATAGATCCGTTGGCAATATAGAATATATTCTGATGGAGACGGAAAATGGAGCCAGACTAGTCAACAAACTATTAACCATTCCTAATAAGAGTTAACATTTTGAATGTCAGGCCCTATTCTGAGCACTCCTCAAGTGTTAAATTCTGGAGGTAAGTACAATTATTATCCTCTTTTTTTATAGATGAGGAAACTGGGGCACAGAGCAGTTGCCCGCCCACCCCACCCCATCCCAATGTTATATAGCTATAATAATCCAGAAGTCTCCATCTTCCAGGTGCTGCCGTAAATAACTTGGATCTTAGAATTCTGTCTCTGAATAGAAATGAGGGACAAGGGGCACCTGGGTGGCTCAGTTAGTTAAGCGTCTGCCTTAAGCTCAGGTCATGATCCCAGGGTGCTGCTCAGCAGAGTCTGTTTCTCCCTTTCCCTCTCCCTCTGCCCTCCCACCCCACCCGATGTCCACGTGCACGCGCCCACTCTCTCTCAAATAAATAAAATCTTAAAAATAAATAAATGATTGGGGGACAAGTCCATGAAAGAAAAGCAGCATGGATAGAACTCTGCTAACTACACTTGTGGGGCAGGAGGGAAATGACAGGGATGAGCCAAGAAATTCAGAAATACGGAGCAGCATGAATCACAGTAGAGAAATCAAAATCAAATGACCCGTCAATCTTAGTAACAGAGATTGATCCTAAGGGTATAACCACAGAGATAGAAAAAGAACAAAGTTGTCTTTTAAAATTATAAGAATAGTGATTACCATGTTAACAAGAGCGGGGAAAAAAGAAAGACTTGAAGATTACTACGGAAGTGTTAACTTTCATTACTGTTTGGATATTCAGTGAAGCTTTTTGAAAAGCTTATTACTATTTTCTAGATTTTCTTCAAGAAATATGTATTACCTCTATAATAATTACTTCTAAAAGGAAAATGCTAGGCTGGGAAAAGGATTATTTTAAGCTTCAGTTATTCATTCACTCGTTCCTCAAATATCTATTGTAGTGCTTGAAATATGCTGCGTGCAGTGTGCCAAAACTTGATCCTGGCTAGATGTTTGAGACCGTTCACTCTCTTCAGAAGCTTTCAGTCTAGCAGGAGACAGACATGCAGACAACCCTAGTGTAATTTGATAGAGAAAATGTGTTCAAGGCATAGTTAGCAATTTGGGGAAAGAGCCATCCAGATATGTTTGTTTGAATCTGGGAATGTGTAACATTTAAGATACTATTTTACTTAAGACTTGAAAGCTGCCTGGTTGACTGATAAGCTGGAAGAAGGCAGAGAGGAAGCAGCAGCTTGTGCAGTGATGGTAGAGCATCCAGAAGCAAACATTCAGCACTGGTTAGAATCAGGAGGGAGAGCTCTAAGCAGGATGCATTTGAGCAGTGGTGATACTTGTAGCCTTGAAGGTGTGTAAGACCTGTAAAATAGGGAATCTTGAGGCAAACTTCTTAAGCTGTAGGAGAGGAAGAAGATGCAAATGAAGGACCTAGGGAAGTAGGAAGAGTTAATATTACAATGTGGATGCCCGAGAAAGCAGGGATGTGGGTGCTCCGTGGTTCCACTGATGCAGAGAGGTGCTCATGCCGTGTGTATTTCCAGTCTGTGTGCTGCTTTTCAAGATCTAAAATTGTTCCATAGTCTGTGTGCAGTTTCATGTGCTGCCTTTTCAATAAGTGAATGAACTATGATTTGTTTTTTAGTTTTGGGCCTTTGGGCTTTTCTTTCCACTCTGAGGAAACAAATCAATTTGTAAAGATTCAGGAGAAGCTTTATGAGAAAATGGATGTGGGGGTAAAATATTTAGAAAGTTAGCAGTGAGTGTACTAAACTGAAACAAAGGTAAAGTATTCATCTTTGTATTCTGGGCACTTAGATCAGTGATCAACAAGGAAGGAAAGAAGGGAGGAAGAAAGGGAAGGAATTAAGAAATAGAGGTATGGATATTAAGATCAATTCTAGGGTTTTTATTATCCTAGTGAAAACTTACTTATACATATGTGGGTATATGATAAAAGTTGTAGTTTGTTTAGTCTTAGAAATTAGAAGGGATACCTTTTCCTCTGGGTGTTGTGCAGATGTTTTCAAGATACGAAAGAAGAAGGAAACTAGGACTGGGTAGACTTCATCTCACTACAGCAATAGATGATGCGTGTCTGAGAGTGGAGGTGAGGAGGTACAATTACAGGCTTAAGGAGAGTGAAAGCAAATTTTTAAATGTTCCTTTTGGGGAGGAGGAGAATGAGAAGAGCAGCAAGAGGTAAACAAAAGGATTGTTGAGCAGTGAGAGGACCCAGCTGGAGGCTGATGGGATGGTTGTAGAGGTTAGAAGTGGATTGTGGACTCATTCCTGTCTTAATGCTAGTAACTTAGATGGTAAGAATTTGGTTGGAAGGTAATAACTTTCCTCACAGAATACACTGTTTTTAGGAACTCTTGGACTCAGAGCTGAGAGACGTATTTAAGTTCAGTTGTTGATTAATAGAAAACAAAAATGTTCATGTATAATTACATCACCAAGATGAAGAATAAAGACTTATGTGCATTATTTCATAAACCATAAAACGTATTAACCTCATACTTCCATTTTTAACAGTAAGAGGTAACTTACCTTCATTGATGAAAGTTACTGGTGGTATCTTGAAGGGACTTTTGGTGGGAGAAGTTCCCAGATCAGGTGGTGACATTAAGTCTCTGGGATAACCTGGATCCCTCTGTATCTCGTTACCTCCCAGCAGTCCAGGAGTGTATTGATGACTGTTAGGGATATGCTGTGGCACTACCTGGACAAGAGGAGGAGACACATGGGGGTCTTGTCGGGAAAATATGTTCAAGCACTGTTCTTCCAACGCAGTGATCATCACAGACTGGTTATTGACGAGATCAGTCAAGGAAGCATATTTTACCTCTAGTTCCCTGTACCTTGTTGCCATCTTCAGCATTTCTGTAGTGACATTGAGGATTTTATTTTCCAACTGGGAAAGTTCAAGTGAGTTATCCCTCTTACGGATAATCTCATGTAGTAGTTGCATATAGAGTTGAGTAACACGTGAGTTCATGTTACGGCTTTCTTTTCTCAGCAGCTTTACCTCATTGACAATGTTTCCATCTACATCCACCACCAACTGCAGGACGTCTATCTCCCGCTTCTGCCTAGAGAGCACGTCCTTCAGGTTTTCAAGGTCCATCCTGGTGATCATGTCTTTAATGGTACTTGCATCTTGCCCTTTGGTATTAACACAAATTGGCCCTGTAATTTTTTGTTCAGGTACCAGGAATGTGTATGCACATTTCTTTACTTCCTCTTTACCATCTGTGGCACGAGGGTATCTCCTCTGGGATGTTTTTTTTATTTTGAACTCTCCTCCTCTGCAGTGTCCAGTGCCCATTAGTAGGAAGAATAGCACACTTAGGGTCCAGAAAAAAGCCTTCATTTTGAAATGAGGTTGTATGAAGTCTTTTAAAAAACAAACCAATGAAAACATAAGTAAGTAAATAAAGTAGAATAATAAACATGAGCAAAACCCAGGATGAGTCATCTTGCAGTCAAGATGATACTATTATTAGCTGGTTGTATTATATTGGGGTTAAGAATAATTGTTTATATTTGAGGTGGTCCCTTAAAAAAATAAAAAAAAACTAATAAAATCAGTGTGCTCCAACAGAATTGTCAGCCGTGTGGATTACATTGCGTGCGCTTCCTAATTTATCAAAAGTTGTTAAATGTACTACTACTGTTTAGAATTCAAAATGTGTTACTAGAAAACTGCATTAAAGTTCATGTCTTTTCTTAAGTAAAATAAACCGATGGGGAAAAGTAAAAATCAATTTTAACCTACTTTTAAAGTCAATAATATTAAAAAAAAATAAGGGGAAAACTGGGTATCTATTGGTGTTACTAAACTGGGCCAAAATTAATGTTATTAATTTGTTAAATTCAACATCACCATCAACATCATAATGTTGCATTTGTCTAAAACTTAGGTTTCAGAGAATAGCTCTCCAACTACCACCTCACTATAATGCTTTTTATTCCTCAGTTCAGTGCCCACTGTGTGCAGAGGCATAGGGTTAGTGTTCTTGGGTGCTTTGAGACCCTAATAAGACACTTTTCTTACCTTTGGAAAGTTTACTTATTGTCTGAAGGCTCTGAAAGTGATACACAATGTTTGTAAGGTATTAATTAAAACATTCTTCCCTAACTAGTATTAAATATACTTTATATATTTATTTTAGATTGTATCTATTTATTTGAGAGAAAAGAGAGTACAAGCAGGGGGAGAGGCAGAAGGAGCAGCAGTCTCCCCACTGAGCAGGGAGCCCGATGTGGGGCTTGATCCCAGGACACTGGGATCATGACCTGAGTCAAAGGCAGATGTTTAACTGACTGAGCCACCCAGGTGCCCCTCTTCCCTAACTAGTATTAAAGTTAATAGCAGGTGACTTTATTAGTTATTATTTTATATTTATATTATGTGGTTTTAGTTAATTGGCCCTCTATAGTAAGTATCTTTTTTATCTGTCAAAGAGACATTTTTTAGATCTCAGACCAGGAAGTTTTGGCGTTATGTTTTTTGTTTTTGTAGCCTGTCCTTTTGGGATTAGTGACAAGTTTAAGAATGAGAGAATGTTTACAGTCATTATTGTGGGTAATTGTGTTTTCTGAACTATAATCATATAAATGCTCTAAGCTTACATATGATTTAGCAGGTTCATTCTTTTTTTTTTTTTAAGCAGTTTAATTCTTAAAACAGAGAGTCTACTGAACAGTATTTTAGTAAAATTTCAATAGTTTCCTGAAACCATTACCAAGGAAAGAAACTCTCTGTAGTTGAATATGATTGTTAGAGTTGGAAGGTGCCTTTGAGAACCTCTTTGCACTCATGTGCATTTTGAAAGCCCGGGCCCCGCAAATCTGTAGTATTAGAACCGGTCAAGGATTCAGGTTCCCCGGCTCCTCGGCTGACATTGCTAGCAGTGGCACGCATTGCTGGCTAGTGTGCTTGGCGTGTTTCATTTTTGCTGTGACAGAGAAACACTTGTCCCTCATAGTACAGTTTCTGTAGAAACACCAGGACTTGCTCTTAAGAACCGAAGCTGCTTACTGGTTCACGAGTTACTCCCTCGGGAGTAGTTGCAGTAAAGTGGCTGAGATGTGCCGCTTCCCTCAGCCGCACAAGCAGGCTGCTGGAGCACATGACCCACCTTCCCCCCTCATAAACTGGGTGCCTAACTGCTGTTTTTGAAGGACGGCAGTGGATACACTAAGGCAGAACTCTTCTTCCCACTTTCCACCCAGGTTCTTGTTTTTTGATTTGAGAAGTCAGGTCCCAAATTGTTTATGCCTACAATTAAAAATAGCAATACAGTAATAACAGTAGTTCATACTCCTTGGGTTTTGGACCTTGTTTTAAGCCCTTTTGCATGTATTAAGTAAATTACTTGTAACTTCAGCCCTTTAAGTAGATTATTACAGTCCTCATCTTCAGTGAAGGACCGGCATCCAGAAATTAAGGACCTTACCCAGAGTGTCACACAGCTTCTGAGAGATGCAGCCAGAGTCTGAACCTAGGCAAAAGACTCCAGAGTTGATGTTTCTCTTTTTCATTAACCACGGCAGCATATGGTGACTATTCTGTCCTATTTTCTGTCACCGAGAGCATAACAATCCCTTAATGCTTGTTAACTGTTTGCATTCACAACAACACTGTGAAAGAAATGTGTACTCTTTTTACAAAGAAATAAAATCCCAGAGAAGCCAGAATTGGTACTCACGTTGGATTCAGTTCTTCTCGTAACTTTTCCGGACCTGTGAATTTTACCGTAGTCATGCTGTAACTATAGAGGAGCCTTAACTTTGTGCTTCGTGTTTTTCGGTCTTTTTCTGGTTTGTAGGTCTTTACATGGACCCATTACTTATTTATGAAAAGGTATTTGTGAATCATTTTTGTTAGGCTGTTTGCATCGTTTTTCAATCCCAGACTTCTGCTGTCATTCCTTCCCCCCGTATGTATTACTATTACTTGATAGCTACAGAACTAACTTGTGATTAGGAATCCTCCCCCAAAAATGAAGGTTCTTACGATCCATGAAATAAGGACTCCAACTGCTTTCATAAAGATGACTGCTCCTTTTTAAACCATGTCTCCTTTGGTGTTTTCAAATAAATGGTGTTTTCAAAGTGGAGTGATAATGAAAATAAAGCAGAGTGGATGGAGTGTGGAAAATCATTTGTCTCTCACTAACATAACCAAGATAAGAGGAATGAGCACAATAATATTCCATATTAGTATCAGAGGCTGGCTGTTGCTTACTGATAAAAGCGCACTTGGATGAGTACTTTAGTTTTTTGTTTTTATATTTTTGCCTCTGATGTCAAGAGAAAATTTAGACCTTAAAGTCTTCTATTTTATAAGAAAAGGACTTTTATTGTACTAGAGTTACCAATAAAAGATTTTTCGTTATATTTGCAGATTCATGGGATTTAGATATGGTTTATTTTTAAAACTGGGACAGTAAAATGTACAGTATTTCTCCTACATAGTTAACTTACTAGTCCTCAGATTCACTCATTTCACTTTTTTTTTCACTCATTTCACTTTAATAATAGAATGGAAATTCTTAGACTATAAAGTTATTTTATTTAAATAATCTATGAAATAAGCTACCAAAACAAGGGAAATTCAGAAGCTGTCGTGTAACTTCAAAACAAGTAGAATTTCATGAACAATATTCTGATTGGAACAGCTTGTATTCCTACCAGACACAGATTTGTATAGGACAACTAAGAACATGTAATCCAAGACTGTTACTGTGACTTTACGTCAGTGTTGTCATGAAAGAACAAAGATGAGAAATTAAAATAGCAGTAGCTTCCCTTCGTTGTGGTCTGCCTTGGCTCTTCATGGGCTCCTGCACGATTAAATCGTAAGATAAATCCTCGTGTACCGTGAGAGAATCTGACCTAAGTATTTAAAGGAAGCAACTAAACATTTGTTCTTAAATAAATATAATCCCTTTGACCTTATAAAAGTAGTGACTTCGTTGTCACCCAAAGAAGAATAAGGAGACACATTTCTGAAGTAGTAGACTAGCTACGTCATGAGTAAGAACTGGTTTAAAAATACATTTACTGTTACATTTTCTGAAAACATTCTCTTATTTAATATTTTCCCACCACGTTCTGTTTTAAAAGTGTAAGTTCTATAAATCTGTGTTACCTCATAAAACCTTTCTGTATATGTTAAAACTTTCCTAGGTCCCAAGAGAACGTTATAAATTCGTTACAGTATACTTAGGTTTAAATCGATGCCTTTGCTTGGTTGTTTTTAGGAAAAAAGGGGGAAAAAAGTCCATGCTTTGAGTTAATTTTCTTGGTATTACTTCTCTTCATAGTTGCTACACTGCCAGCTAGTAGAGAGAAGAAATAAAAATCAGGATTTACTTCCTTTCAGATGGTAAATGCATAGAGGCATTTAACTGCCTATGTCACGCACTGAAAACAGCGTGAGGCGATGAACTTAAATTTATGAAGCACTGAAGATGCTTTAGATATTTCTAGATGGTGAATTATGTTCTGGGAAAAGACTTGAGAACAGGCTCATCCCCAGAGATATTAAAGAAAGGGATAGTAGTTATCTTTATGTTTGGGGTTTCAGATTCGATGCTTGCCTAAGGCTTCAGTAAGAACCGAGGTTTAATGAGGTTCTGCACTTTTCATAGCAAACAGCAACAGAAAAGAGAGAGATGGCAGTATTGCTTGGACATTTTATCAGTTTCTTGTAAAATATGTTCAACAGAGATCCTCCCAGGATTTAGAGTATGAGTCTTTAAGGAAAAGACATGAAAGTAAAGTTGAAAAAATCTGAGCTTTACAGTTGTTTGCTTATTGAAGTTTCTTACCATTTAATGTCTTTAGTTTTAGAAAAACAGAGGATCCCCAAATCATAAAAAAAAACCTTAAGTGTCTTTGGTGTTTAAAGCAAACTAGTAATTTTGCTAACTAGTAATTTTATTTTTAACAGTTCTCATAATAAAATTAAAGTAGAATATTGAAAGAAAGTAGAATATTGAAAGAAACCTCTTGCTTGGTTACCGAAATTATGTCTGTCTAAAATATATATATTTTTGGTCTTTTGATCATGTATTTAAGTAATTGTACTTAATACAGTTTAAGTAATTCTATCTTCTGGGTTCTTATTTTCTACTGTTATTGCTGACTACTTACTTAATAGTTAAGTCACATTTTCTTTTTTTCTTTAATTCTAACCTGCAAAGTTTTAGGTTTTTTTTTTTTAATGTATCAATAACTTTGCTTTGTTAAGTAATTCTAGGTATAGCAGTTTTAATTTCTGTTACCCAAGTTAAATAACTGTTACACGTAAACCTGAAAAGTTACTTAAAATTCCTTGAGTTTTTGCAAGAAACACCATAGACTTAGCTTAAATCTTTACCAAAATTTCTGCTTGATATTTGGTTATACTATAATTGAGGGATTGTTGCAAAGTCTTCCAGTTAATTTTATATCTTTTTAGCTGTGTTTCATAGCTATACTTTAAGATCTCTAACAGTATACGTGATCTGCCAGCACACACACACACACACACACACACACACACACACACACACACAAACACTGGAATTGCATGGAGAGAGACTAATGTTTACAGCTCTTTTCTTTTGTTTGTATCCCTTTGTTTTTAATCACTGTGTTATAAACTTTATACATTGAATCTGTTACTTGTTAAAATTTCTTTCTGGTGTCACTAAAGCACTTGTTTTCTGAAACCTAACATGTATGTAGCAATGTATAAGCATATATACCAAATATTACTAAATTGAACCTCAAAGCATGCATTAATCATCACAAAGTACATAATGATCAGTTTTTTAACATAAAGGTGCAAAAAAACCCAGCCCTTTTTCAGCTAAAATAACTTGTTAGTATATTTTAAAATTCTTCGTTTAATAAAAGATTTTGAAATTTCTACAGATGTAGAATTTTGAACATACACAGAATGTCAAAGAAAAATAAATATTAAAATACCTTTATGCATCTGTTGATAAAGCAGACCCAGAAACTTGCTGCTGTTTTTCTTGCTTTTAAAAATCAGTGTAGAAGTTTGTTCCTCTGTGACTTTAATGGCAATTGCATTTTTGCTTTGGACCGTCAAATTCAAGCTGTAATAAGGAACTTCTTTTTCTTCTTACAACACTAATCAATTGAACTTGACAAGCCACCTATGTAATTTTAAGTAGTATAGTGGAAGTTCTGGTCTGTGGGCTGTCTTTAATCCGGCAGAGAAAGCATTGTGGCTTTGCTCTGTCTGCCACATGGAGAAGTGCAGTAACCGGCTGCAGCTGACCCAGATTGTACATACAGCACCCTTGAATAGTGATTCCCTCTCTTTCTCAGTAAACTCAAGTTCAGCCCACATACTACGTCACTAAAAATTGCTGGAGACTAAGGGGGAAAATCTCCTCCTTAGGATTTCCTCTCTGTAGCCTTAAATAGGGGTGGGGGTGGTGGGATCAGCAGGAGGTTGAATAGCTCTGAACAAGGAGAGACTGTGTGCAGGTTGAAGGAAGGGCACCATCTGGAAACAAACTATCATAGTTCAGCGGGCAATTATAAAACAAACATTTTAGTCTGCTGGCCAGAGATCTTTTAACTTGAGTACTGAAAAAAATAGTACTGAGCTTCTCAGAAATAGTAACAGGCTGATAAGTTTGGTTTTTTGTTACAAAGAACAAGAGTTAGACTTTGTCACCCGGCAGCCACCTAAATAATGTAATACTTTTCATATTGTAGAGAATTTTTAAACTTCACTAAGTTGCCATTTCAGAAGGTTTTAAACATAGACGAATCTTGATGTTGTGATATATCTTACTGTGTAATGTCTCTTAATAAAACTGTTCATACATATAATTACTAAATATAAATGGAAGTCTGTGTATGAAATTCATTAATGTAATACGTCGAAAATTCTGATGTTACATAGTGTCACTTGCTCCTATTCTAAAAACATGACCCCTCTTGTTTGAATAAGGTTATTCTTAGTAGTTGATGTTTTGAGATTTAAAAGCAAACATAACCCTGGCCTGAAAAAGAGTTCTGACTCCCTGCTGGCTCTGTGGATTTAGAAAAGTCTAGAGAGAGAATTAGTAACTGTTCAGTACTAACTGTGCTATTATATTTCATTAAACTCAGAAGTGTTGATTAAGTAGCTTAATAGCTAATGAAACAAAAATTGGGGCATCTTAACTGATTTGGTACTTCACTACTAAGTAGTAGAACTGGGGTTTGACTCTAATTCCAAAGCACTGTGCCATACTGTCTCTCCTTGAATTCTATAATTACTGATTGCAGCTTCTAGGTAAAATTTTGCAGGTCTTCTAATTTTTATATATACCATGTGCTTTCCCCTCCTTGCTGCCTTAGCTTGAGCTGTTTTTTTCTTTCTGTCGAACCACATTGTTTATTTAAAGTCAGCCCAGTTTCTGCCTCTTTCACAGAATTGTTTCTTTAAATTCTATGACATATATAGGTATACCAGGGGTTGCAAACTCAAGGTGTACAAAGACCAAATACTCACAAGAATGAGACAAGTAATGTAAGTAAGTGAAATAAGCTAGAAGTAAAGTAACAAAGGAAAATGAGTTAGGACAAACCGGCATCCTTAAGATTAATACAGTGGGATCTGCACCCTTCTCAGCTGTGCCTCGTTATTGCCAGATCTTCCCATTTTTTAGGAAGAGAAAGTCACTTAGATATTTCCTATGATATTTCCTGGTTTTAAAAACATTGGGACAGATGGAATGCCAGCTTTTAGGCTCTGATATATGTTATAGAATGCATTACTTGATCATTTAATATTACTTGATCCTCTTGTATTCACTAATAACCTAATATGGGAGAAAATACAAGATAGTAAGTTTCTCCTGAACTGTTTTACTTGAGTAGTTTTGAACTTTCTAACTTTAACAATTAGTAATATCTCTAACTAAGGTAAGAAGTTGGGATGTCATGTGTTTTGAGACAAATAATGGTTAGTTTGGCATGTCAAATTGAAAATTAAAGATTTCAGTTCTAAAAAGAGATTTGAAAAGTCATTGGCAATTAGGTGATGGTTGAGGCTACAGAAGTAAGATAATCGAGGAAAGGAACATGCAGAGTGAGATGAATGACAGAACCATGGAGAACACCAATTTCTAGGGAACATGAGGAAAAAGAAGAATTGGCGGGGGGGGGGGGGGGGGGGGGCGGGGCACGGCTAGGAAGGTCCAAGCCAGTAAAGCCCCAAAGAACAAAGGGAATAATAAAAATACTGAGACACTAATGAGCAGCGGGAGACCAAGAGAGATGTTTAAAGATTTAATAATGAGCAGGTCCCTTATACCTTTGTTGGAGTAAATTTCAGCAAGATACAGATTTCAGACTGTATTTTTTTTTTTAGAGATTTTATTCATTTATTTGAGAGAGAGTGCACGGGCAAGGGGAAGAGCAGAGCGTGAGGGAGAAGCGGAAGAAGCAGACTCCCTGCTTAGCAGGGAGCCCAGTACGGGACTCAATCCTAGGACCCTAGGATCATGACCTGAACTGAAGGCAGGTGTTCGACCAACTGAGCCTCCCAGGTACCCCAGCTTTCAGACCATATAGTAGGTTGAAAAGTGGATTAAATTTAACTGCCAAGTGGATTGGTTTCCACAATATATTAAGAACTTAGAAATCAGTAAGAAAAAAAGACAACCCCGAGGAAAAAATGGATAAAAGACATTTCATAGAAATATAAATATGTAACCTCATTACCAATCAAAAAAAGGAAAATTAAAAAACACAGTGAGATATTATTTTATACCTATAAGATTGGCAGAAGTCAAGAAGACTGATAATATCAAGTGTTAGCACAAGAGCAGACTAATAGAAACTTAAATGCTATCAGTGGTAGTGTGAATTGATAAAGCTTTAAAAACCAGTGGAGGGGCGCCTGGGTGGCTCAGTGAGTTAAAGCCTCTGCCTTTGGCTCAGGTCATGATCCCAGGGTCCTGGGATTGAGCCCCACATCGGGCTCTCTGCTTGGCGGGGAGCCTGCTTCCCCCCCCCCCCACCTCCTGCCTCTCTGCCTACTTGTGATCTCTGGCAAATAAATAAATAAAATCTTTAAAAAGTGTGAAGCTGAACATTAATAAACCATATAAATGCCATATATATAATATAATATGAGATATATCCTAGGAAAATTCTTGTACATGTGTCCCAGGAGATACTTAAAAGAATGTCAGTAGCAATGAGTAGGGAGGGAAGAAGTAACTTAAAAGTATCAAATAAGTGAGTAAATTGTGATACAGTTACATGTTAATATATTCTCAATCTAAGGAATTACTGCTGCATTTAACAACACAAATAATTCCTGGAAACAAAATGGTGAGACTCAGCACTCACAGAAGGCCATATTTTTAAAAATTTAATAATTTAGTAACAAACACCTGTAAATTTATAGGTGTTTGTTACTTACTGTTTGTTACTTACTGTGTTACTTACTGTGTACCTATGTTTACGAATGTTATCATTGAATTTCACTGTAAGCAAAAGTAAATATATTGTGCAGGGATACAGACAGATGTCTTGGGAAAAACAAAACGAGAGAATAATTTTAAGTTTTGGAGTAGTGGTTAGTTACCTCTGGATGGGAGGCAGGGAGATCATACAGGGAATGAACAGTACAGGTGATGTTGTACTTCTTAACCTGCCTGGTCATTCACCAGTATCTATTACATCGCTTGATAACAAGCAATATTACATGAGTTAGAGTATACTTTTTAAAATGGTAAAATCATGGGCGCCTGGGTAGCTCAGTGGGTTAAGCCGCTGCCTTCGGCTCAGGTCATGATCTCGGGGTCCTGGGATCGAGTCCCGCATCAGGTGCTCTGCTCAGCAGGAAGCCTGCTTCCCTTCCTCTCTCTCTCTGCCTGCCTTTCTGGCCTACTTGTGATCTCTCTCTGTCAAATAAATAATAAATAAAATCTTTAAAAAAAAATAAAATGGTAAAATCATGATTCTTAAATACAAAATGAGTACATGTCACGGTTCTATTTAAATCACTAAATTTATAAGGGGATCAGGAGGCTACTGCAACCATTTCAGGAGAGAATTCAAAGTACCACGCGTACCATATAGTCAAGAATGCTAAGATAAATTTATACATAGTTGCAAAACTGGCCAGCATCGGTAGAGCATTAATCATTTACATTTTACTGAACATACGGCATTGGCATTTTTATGGACAGGAGTTTGTATTATTACTAGTTTTCAAAAACTTACGGAGTTTGTCAGATAGCTCAGAAAGTCCATAAGGATACACTGGAGATAGGACACCTGGTAATTTTTTTTTTTTTTTTTTTTTTTTTTTTTTTTTTTGCCTATTTCAGAGACTGTCATAATTTTTCCTGACTCATGTAAACTTTTATATGTGTTAAATATTTCATTAAAAAGAGATGAAGGGTTAAATAAGTGGAGGAGTCTCTATTTCTCTTTCAAGCTGTTTGTTACAGAGAAAGGGACAGGGGTCCTGTCCAGAGGAGGAATCAGATGTGAACAAAGAGTTACCTTGATTTTGTTTTCTTTAAGAGAGAAGGTGTAAATGTAGGCCTCCGCTCCGCTCCGGAAAGGAGCCCACGGCGGGTGAGGAGGCTGTCGTGGTTACACTCAAAATCACAGTGGAGAGGAAAAAGGGATTCTTCTTCCTCTGAGATGAAGGAAAAGCAGCTAAACTAAAGAGTCATTTGAAGTCATTAAAAAAGAAGTTGAGAGTCTCTAAAGTAAAGGAAGTATTTATGATAGATGGCATCAAGAGTACCATTAAGACTTCTTGAATGGAAAAAGAATGAATAGGATGAGTAAAAGGATTGTCAGCCCAAGATTTTAGGTTGTTTTAAGCACCTATTGTCAAAACATTGCACAAGATTTTCATTTTCTTAAGAGTGCAAGATAGAGCAACTGCCTTAAATGAGTTTATAGTCGTGAGCAGATAAGATATAAATAGAGTTTAAACAGATTATAAAGTCATAAAAATTACCAAGTGAATGGTATTACAGATACTGTATGAATTTATAACAGCGGGTAGTGGAGAAGCTAGGGTACAGGTAAATACTCTGAGGTCCAGCTTTGTTACTAACCGTTCACATGGCATTAGTCTGTCAATATCTGTGGACCTCGGATTCTTCATCTGTAAAAAGGGGGTTAGACTGGACAGTTTCTACATTCCTTTCTTGGAGTCTATGAGAAAACTAAAGAACAGTTGACACTGACCTAGATATTAAATAAAATTGAGATGGGCAGAGATAAGTCTCGGAAACTGTCAAGATGAAAGAAACAGCATGAGAAAAGAACACAGGGCTTTTTTGGAAGGCAGTGTATATGGTAC